CTACTGGAAACTGCATGACAATTGATGTTTGTTAACTGCTGCACTCCTCCACCATTACTTCTGAATAAGAACACAAATGCTGATGGGCTTACTTGGAGAAGAGCTTCTACTGTTTCCAGGATTATTTGGCTTATATATTATGTTAATACATTATAATTTATAGAGATTTAAAATTTTTATTGAGTTTTTGTACATTTCATACAACACTTCTTAATCAAATTTAGACCCCCTCCCCAGCTATGCCCTCCCACCCCTACTGGACCTCATACATTCTGTCACATATATACTTTATGTTGAGGATAGTAAAACTAAACAAAATTATCCATAAAATATCTATCTGAAAATATAGTTTTATATATAAATACTTATTTTTTAATTTTTGCAAAACCTTTATTGAGAATTTCATACATGTATGTAAGGTGTTTTGATCAAATCCATGCCCAATCCCTCCCCTCCAACATTCCCCCCTCTGAAGAGGTAGCCCTAAAATCTTTTAAGAATTAGATACAAGCTCCCAACTTTTGACATTTTTGGCCTTTGGAACAGAGTATGTTGCTAAGAGGCCCAAGGACATTTTGACTTTTAGCCAAGAAACTGGCTACATTTCTTTAGGGTCTTTTTACCCTAACTGCCTAGCCAATTCCTACCTCCTTATCACGCCATCCTCTGAAGGGGTTACCCAAATTGCCAATAGGGAATAGGGACGCAGACTACTCTGGCTTCTTCCACGACGAACAGGGACACAGAGTGGGGCAATTGGAGTACCCCTTCAGTGAGTCTATCTAAAAGGCTCCCAAATTGCATAACTCTTATCTCTAAGGGGAAAACAAAGTCCTTGACTGGTGAATAGGAGATGTGAAGGAGACGTAAAGGCAAGAGTAATTAGCATTACAAGTTCTAGACAGGGAACTAGAAAAAAGTCAGAACAGGGCAATTTTCAAATGTTCATATGAGAGTCCATTGGAGTTTCTTGACAAGGGCTTCCAAAAGCATCCCTCTATTGGGTTCTTCCTCATTTTTCTTTTTTCTTCCAAGGCTGGATTAGTTGGCTGGGAAGAGTGGCTGGATACTCAGGTGAGGGTCCAGTGACCCTTTTGGTACTCCTTTAATGAATGAGCACAATACTTATATATTTATAAATCCTACTTTTTTAAATACATTTAAATGCAATGGAATTCAGCCTTCTTTCATATTTCTGTTTTATATTTTTACATTTTCTTTATATTAATTCTTTCCTTACAAGTACCATGGCCTTTTAGAAACACAATTTGTTCCATGTAATGATTCTTACTGCTATAAATAATTGTGACTTGAAAACTGGGGCTTCTTTAAGTTGACTCCCTTCTCATTAGCAGTGCCCTTGCCATTTTTAAAACCTCTCTTGTTTCCTGGCAACAATGTGATGTTTCAGAACTGCTCTGATTTTATCCTGCCAAGGACACTGAATTGAATATTCTCTAATCGTTCCAATTTCTTATTTGACTTTTTTGTTTAGAGCAGTGTTAGGGACCAAAATTTATCTGCTAAGAAATGTTACAGGTGTTGGGCGGGGAGCAAAAACACCTGCTACTGTACTCCCATTGGATTGCTCTTGAGAGTTGACTAAATTGAAAGGAAAATAATTTTATTCCAAGCATATAAGATCTTATTTCTTCTAATATACCTTATGATGGGGATAGCTCCTTCTCTTTTTTAAATAAAAGAGAGACTTTATTAGAAAACACCAAGCTTCTTTAAGGAATCTGAACAGATGTAATAGTTCAATGGTGAGAGGGGCACATTCCTGTAGGATAGTGCACCATGTAATCACAAAAGTTATATTTTAATTCTGGATTCTGCATGATTATGATAAGAATATCCCGAATGATAGTTTTCTTTGTTTTGTATAAGATACTAGAATGTGGATTCAATCTTTCTCTTACTTTTCACACATGTGGTAGCATCTTTTATACTAAGTTCTATAGCTTGTTCCCTTTACCTTGCTCTATTTCTGCACAAACATGCAGAGAGAGAGAGAGAGAGAGAGAGAGAGAGAGAGAGAGAGAATATCTTGGGGTATTACTAGGTAGCCAAGATTAACCTTGTGATCTTCCTGCTTCTAGGTGGAATTTTAGGTGTGCACCATGCTTGACAGGTTTTTCCTCAGTGCTAGTGATGGAACCAGGGCCTTATGCATGTTAGACAAGTGCTCTACTATTAACTTGTACCCTTAGTCTCCTCTACTTGCTCTTTACATCTTTATAGTCCTTTATTCTGGCCTCAAACTTGTCAAGCACACATTAGCAGATATTTCATGAGTTCCTGCACACGTATCTGAAATGACTTAGCTGCTGGAAGAGCACCTAGAGTCTGAATGTGTACATTAGTTTTGCTTTCTGATGAATGGTTCGTAGCATGACTGTACAATTTCACTTCCAGGTTCTTGGTGATCATATATTGTAAAGAATTCCCCAGGGTATAGTGCTCCTACAATCCAAATATTACATAGTACTTTTCTGTTCTAGCTCCAGGAACATTACTAGGTCTGTCTTCCTCATGACTTCAAACATAGACATCTTCAACCCACATAGTTTCTCCTCGTGCCATTATCTTCTTCCACTCATTCGGCTGTTATGATTTGGATCTGAAATGTCCCCCAAATGTTTATGTGTTAGTCTTAGTCGCCAGTATAGCAATGTTAAGAGGTGGGACTTTGGGGAAGTGAACAGATCATGTGCCCTCTGACCTTATCAGATGATTAACACATCCATTAATGAATTCATAATTTCTGGGGTATAATTTCTGGAAATCTAGGGGGTGAGACCTGGGTGAAGCCAGTGAATTTGGGAGCATCTGTGCATATTATAGGAATCCGTGCATGTTTAAAGAAATGTAAAGTATGACATTTAAGGTCAAACACTTCTGCATCTCTTTTATGAAGTTTTAGATACCATAAAATTAATGAATTAAATATTGACTTATTAGTGGATTATGATTTTAAACCTTATTGAGATGTTGGCCTCCAGTGAATTCCTTTTTCATGATAGAGTTCGAAACCTGCATTCTACTGTGAAAAAGATCTGTATTATGATTCTGAAGAAAGGGGAAGCAGATATGAAATTATTTTAACACAGCTGTTAGTAGGTTAGAACATTGGTTCTTCCACTTTGGAATGTTGTTTGACTCACCTAAAGAATTCAGCAACCATAAAGGGTCCAGGCATCTACGCAGTACAGAAGAAAGTTCTGTTGTTACTCAATGAAGTACCATTGTCTCAGGTCATCAGATATATCAGGGCAGCTGGTTGCTCTAATGAGGTAGGCTTTACTAGGAATTATTCACTGGTGAATTATTCTTTCCTCAGAGGATTTGAAATTCCTTTTTCCTTTAATTGACCCAGAAAGTACTCCCTGGCATTCATTGTAGGCTTTTAGCTCAGAAAAAAAAAATATTTATTCTTGATTTTTTTAACCTGGTTAGGATTAGGAAAAACTGAATGGAATTTTGAAAAATATGGTGACCTTGATTTCTTCTTCGTAAGTCTCAAGTTTTAATGTAAAAACATGCCACTTGGAGATCCTGTTAAAATCCAGATTCTGCGTCAGTACATCTGGGTGGGGTCTGAGATTCTGTACTCCTGGTAAGGTCCCAGGTGGTGCCAATATTGATCTGAGGAACAATGCACTAGTTTTGGTTTGTAGCCTTTGCTGAAAAATGGCATTGCTTCAGAAATTTTAAAAAATGACAATTTTTAAGGCCCATTTCCCCAGAGAGTCTACTCCTTCTGACATAATGGACACTGTATGGAGTGGGTATCAGGGGTTTTGAAAACTCTTCAAGTGACTTCCACGTACAGCAAGATTTGAAACTTCATGTCTTTGTACACCACTAAAAGGTAACCAACATCATATGGTGTTTAAGAGAAACTGAAGTGAATTTTTACTCATCTACCTCATGCTGTAATACATAATTTCTTTACATAGTTCAGAGCAATAATTTATCTCAATTTCTTTACTGATAAGGTTTTTCCAATGTTTGATCCTCTAAGTTCCATGAGGACTCAGTCTTTTGAGGGGTCTTTGAATGTTATAAGCACCAGAGTTCATTGTTGGCTGTCAGTACAGGTGCACTGAGAAGCAGATCTCAAGATGGAGTTAGATGTGCAGGAGATGTACTAGGGGAAACACCTGTGAAGATAAAGGAGGAAGGAAGCAGGAGGCAGGAATGGGGATGGAGCCTGCATACAAGTAGGTAGGACCGCCCCATGTGGAAGGAGAAGGTAAAGAAGGGGTGGGTAAGGAGAGGCCCAGATGATAGAATAGCTCTGAAGAGGCCTTGGCTAGGCTTGGGGAGCCCCAGAGCGAAGACTGCCTTACTTTGGTAGGTCCTGACTCAGGCAGATGTAGCTCACCTCTATTCTCCATGCTGAGCTCAGCCATTGGGTGGGAACAATCTGGGAAGAAGATGACCTTGGCCCTGATGCTGCAGCAGATGTGAAGGTATGGCTGCCAGTTCCTGTCAATAGATGGGTCTCTGTGTAGCAGGTTCTTTCTTGTAGGGCAATTTGTGTGTATTGCCATATCTGCTACATTTCTGTTTTAAATTTTACAGAGAGGATGTCAATTATTTTTTCCTTTGGGATAATGTAAGAGAAAATTAGCCACACACCAAGACATTAATGTTTCTTTGAATGTCTTGCTTTTGGTCTTGTCCCTTTAAACTTGATTAAACTGATAAACTGGCATTTATCAATTATAAATTATAATCATGTCTGCTGGGCCCACAATAGATTTCCTATCTCTGTAAAAATGTAAAATTACTCACCACTGGATAAGATGTGGGTGGAACAACATCTGTCCTCTGTAATGACTGCATGTTTACCATTAGCTTTTAAATGTCATGTGCATAGATATAATGTAAGGACTAATTTTTAGCATTTCTTACTATTTTTAGGATCTTGTATTAAAGAAAGAGTTACTAAACAAAACTGACTGAGATTGTGTTTTCTTGGTTTGCCACAGTGTGCTCTCCAGCATGACAGATGCAGTGTTGGCTCGAGTGTATAAACAATCAGATCTGGACATCCTGGCTAAGGAAGCATCCATCCCAATTGTCAATGGGCTATCAGACTTGTATCATCCTATCCAAATCCTGGCTGATTACCTTACACTCCAGGTTGTTGTATTTCTTTGTCTTACAAAAATAGGAAAAATCAACAAATAATTCCCAATTAGCATCAAGGGAAATCATTTACTTAAACGATGTTTAATTATTATGTGCTGGATAGCTTTAGTGTCAACTTGACACACCTGGGTCGAGGGAGCCTCAATTGGGGAATTGCCTCTATTGGACTGGCCTATGGCCATGTCTGAGGGGCATCTTCTTGATGAGTGATGTGGGAGGGCCCAGCCCACTGTGGGTGGTGCCACCCCTGGGCAGGTGGGCCTGTGTTGCATAAGAAAGCAGGCTGAGCATGGGCCAGGGGAGCAAGCCAGTAAGCAGCGTTCCTCCATGGCCTGTGCTCCAGCTCCTCCCTCCAGGTTCCTGCCCTGAGTTCCTACCTTGGGCTCCCTGATGAACTGCTACCTGGGAGATGTAAGACAAATAAACCCTGTCCTCCCCAAGTTGGTATTGGTCAGAGTATTTTGTCACAGCAACGAAGAAACAAACTAGGACTAACTTTTAACTAATCTTGGCAAATAATTATTGCATATGAGTGACTATTACAGATCTGAAGAAAACAGTGCATTGTTATAAACAGAGTATAAGATCCTTTTGTTTTCAATCCTGTTTCCAAACCTCTGCAGCCCCTCTCACATCATCTGTTCTTTCATTTTGCTGAGTTCAACAAGGGATGAATAAGGAATGCAAGTGTATGCAGAATGGACAAGGCTTATGTAACTGTGGTAATTAATATTGATTGCCACCTGGTCAGGATCTAGAATCACCTAGGAGACAAACCTCTGGGCATGTCTGTGAGGCATTGTCTACATTAGGTTTACCAAGTTGGGCAAACCCACTTGAACCATGGGAAGCACCATTCCATAAACTGGGTTCATGAACTGAATGGAAAGGAGAAAGCAAGCTGAATGCTGATATTCATTTCTCTCTGCTTCCTGACTCTGAAAGCAATGTGGCCAATTGCCTCAAGAGCCTGCCATTATGACTTCCCCATAATCATGGACTGTGTCCTTGAACTGTGAGTCAAAATAAGCCCTTCATTTCTTCCTTAAGTTGCTTTTGTCAGGTATTTTGGATATTTTGTTCCACTGATGTGGAAAGTAACTAATACAGTGACCCTTCATACATCAGACTCTATAACTTAGAAATATAGATGCGAGGGGTTTGCTGAAGATGGTCTATTATTGCTTAGTAACTGAACGAGGGAAACATTTTCTGTTCTTTTAATAGGTTGATAAGGAATAGAGTAAAGAACATGCAGAATTTAGAGAGTTAAGGCTCCAACTGAGCAGTGTGTTCCTAAGTTAGGAATTTAAATAACTTTTTATGATGATGTGATTTGGTACTTGCTGCCAAGCTTGATGGGCTGAGTTTGATCCTGGGGACCCATATGATGGAAGAAGATAACAGAATCCTGCATAGAACTAGGGAAATGGGCAAGAAGATCCAACCTTAACAGAGGAACTATTGACAAGTGATCCCTGCTTGGTGAAGTAGAGTCGGTCTTCTGTAAGGGGGTGGCACTAGATAGGTTGACCACGTTCCAGTGGATGGACTCACACTGAGGGACATTTGGAGACACAAACTTGGCTCAATAAGCCTGAACATATGTGACAGAATGCATGAAATTCAGTGGGGAGGGGCTATGTGGACGGTCAGATAGAGGAGGGCTTCTGAATATGATCACGATGTATTCATTGAAATTCACAGAAATTCAAAAAAAATTAAAAACCCCAGACCAAACAAAAAACAAACATCATAGACAGGACACAGCCATCAGATTAAATGGAACCGAAACAATTATGTAAAGATACAAATAAAAAAATCTGAGTCTTTGTACAATGTCTTAGTTTAAGATATTAGTACTTTCAAACTACTTTGTGATTGTTTGTGTTATTGAATTGCTCTGTACAATAAAATAAAGGTTTATTCATTGAGCAAAGTGTTTTTATTGAAGTGAAGACTGTCTCCTTTATTTTAACCCCAATTACTGTTGCATAAAAGTGAACTTATTCCCCATATTTAATCCCCTTTACCCCTTGCTTTTTAGGAACATTATGGCTCCCTTAAAGGTCTTACTCTCAGCTGGATAGGGGATGGGAACAACATCCTGCATTCCATCATGATGAGTGCTGCGAAATTCGGGATGCACCTCCAGGCAGCCACTCCTAAGGTAGGGAGACTTTCTGCCTTGAAGGATCCTCCTCTTCAATCAGATGCAACTACCCAGTATAAACAAAGTTTCTGATCAGAGACAGCATAGGTGAGGCCACAAACTCCATTTTTTAATGACAATCTGGCTTCTTAAGAGCCCAATTTTCCATCTCTACAGTGAAAATTAGTCTTGACTGATGCCTTCCATTCTGTGAGTCTATAGTAAAAGCATGTCTGAATTATTTTGTTGAATGCCCTGCTACTGGTCATTATGATGACTGGAATCCTTGTGTGTTACCACCACACAGGCTGAAGAAAGCAGTGAAAGCCAGACAGCATAGACTCCTCAGTGCACAGGAATGATGCTGTCATTTCTCCAATAATGTAATTTGACACAACAGCAACAAAAATGGCAGTCCCATGTGAAGTAACCAATGATGGCATGTATATGAGCTCTTTAAAATCGAGTCTCACGTGGCTGTGAAAATAACTCCTCCATGCTTTCTATCCTGGTGGTAATCTCTTATAGAATATATGGAAAACCCAACTTCTTTCATAAACCCAACTTAAATCTTTTGCTACATAAGGAAATGGTAATAGTTGTTGCCTCTAAATAGAAAAACTAGCTGGTTCAGGGATAAAGATAGGAGGGCAATACCATTTTTAAGGTCTTTTATATGGTTTCAATTTCTTAACATGTAAATTTTGATCTACATAATAACATATATGCATAAATAAATGCACTAATATAAAACATGTATGTTTCCCTAGATAGCCCTGTGTTAAGATATGTCTGCCCCCTACAGAATAAATAGGACTTGTAAAAGGTAAGAATTAGCCTTCCAATTTACAGCCACTTTTGAAAGAGATGTATCTTTGCTCTGAAAACTGTTATTGAATATGTTAAAGCTGTAATGAAATGCTTCCTCTAATCATGTGCTTATTAAACAAAAAAAGAGCCCTCCAAGAGAATCAACCACAAGCCAGCACAAAGGGTCTCAGCAGAACATTAAAAGCACCCAAAATCTACTAAGCTCTCTCTATTATGTTTCTTATGTAGCTACTAATGTCCCTTCACAAGTCTTTTAAAAGGAAAATTCCCCTAAACAGAAGATATTTCAGAAAATATGTGTTTATTTCTGTTAAGAGATAAAATTGACCCTCACATTAGGAGACACCTTTTGCAATGGTTATGCACCAGTAAGTCTCTCTCCAAGGATACGTTTGCTGATTTCTCCATAGTCACTGCTGTGGCTCACTCTGAGCTGAAAATGGGAAACTGAAAAAAAACTCTGTCTGCTTCTGCTTCTTGAGTTTCAGGTGTTTATTTGCCAGCAACCAGGAGCATGAATTACAAAATGTAGGTGAATAGCTGAATTTCTCCAACAGGAATCACCCAGTCCTTAAGTTTCTCATATACTGTTCGCCCCACTCCCCCAAACCCTACCAGGGTCTTAGGACAAGATCCTTATAAGCAGATCCTTAGTGAGAATTTGTGTAGAGCAGGAGAGGGAAAGGGAAGAACCTAAAGAAGAATGTTATTTACAGAGATCAACCATCCTGGTTTCTCCAGACCTGGGGAATTCCTGGAGATAAGAAGCATTCAGTGATAAAACTGGGAAGAGTATGGGGCTAACCTGGGTGATTTGGTCACTCTAAAGCCATGGCATGTCCAGTCCCACAGAAAGTAGCTTACCTTGAACCCAAAGTGAGCTTGGGAGTGCATGTCATGCTTCAGAGTTTTCCCACCTGGAGGCAGGTTAGTAGGTTTCCATCCTTCTGGCTCAGTTACTGTTGAAGGGCAGCAGGCACATTGGAGTGACAAATCTTCTGGCACTTATAGTGAGAAAAATAGCCTGGTTGTCAGAGAGTTTCTTTATGAAGAAAAGGTGCAAGTTCTAAGTGTTAAAAACAGACATGTATCACCTGTCATATCATAAACAATTTAAATGATATTACATCAATTCTCTAGGGTTCGAGCTGAATTGGTTTGGGTCCATGGATTCTTCTTAGGTTCTTAGGGTGGCCAAAACAAATTACCACAAATTGGGTGGCTTGAAACCACAGTAATTTATTGTCTCACAACTCCGGAAATTACAAGTCTGAAATCTAGGTGTTGGCACAGCCACATTGCATCTGTTACTTGACTTCTGGCTGCGCCACTTCTGTCCCATCCTCCATCATCTTCCCTCTGTGTCCATATAACTCTCTGTACAAATGTCCCTGTTCTTCCAAAACATAGCATTTTAAATTTAGGCCCACCCCCACTCCATATGACCTCATCTTAAGTATTATATCTGCAAAGATCCTATGTCTAAATAAGATCCTATTTTCTGCATCCTGAGATTCCCCACGGGCATGATTTTTTCCATGGTGCTGGGGCTTGAACCCAGCACTTCATATATGTTAGCTAAGCATTGTATCACTGAATCATGGTTCAGCTCTAGGTCATGAGTTTTCCTGGGACAGTATTGCCAAGATGTACCTGCCACGGGGAAAAAAAAAAATCGCAAGCATGCACTGGAAACCCTCATAGCACAACAAATTTTGATGACTCGGAGAGACGACACTTACAGCGTATCATTCACCTCTTTTCATTTAGCATGACCTGAAATAAGGATCAGATGTGACATATGCAGCCTCTCTTGACACTCTCACTAGAAATCTAGTGCCGAGAAAGGCTCCATATAAAGGCAAACTATTATTGCGTTTGCTTTTACAGATAAAATATGCATTAAGAATAATTGTTCCCTGCCATAAGGTGCTTTTGGAAAGGCTTCATTCTGTTGAAGAAATATATGGTTTAAACATTTTATTGCATGTCAAAAAATGTTTTATTAACATCAAAGGGAGAAATTCCAATATTATAGAGTAATTTCAGTATTGTTCTTATGCAGAAACTCATTTAAATGATAAAGGACATAGACATCCACTTAAATCTTGGTGGGAGTAAGAGTTTTTAAAAATCTGCTGGAAAGTCTGATAGTGCAGAAGTCAGTCCATCAATTTGTAAGGCTTCAGTTGTTAGTAGAATTATTTCCTTTAAAGATAAAGCTAGGGGATTTACTGTAAATTTAAGAAACACCGAACCACTTCCAAGGCCATAAGTAATCCATTTCCCCATGCTTCAACCAAAAATAACTTACATTGTTCAAAAAATAATAATTTTGTCCATGATTGTAAAAGTGCTCCATAAGCCATTGATGGTAATGATTATAACATTGTTCAAAGTGAATATTTAGACTAAACTGGGTTTGTTAATCACCTTCTTCATCTGGTTTTAAGATTTATGTAAAGGGCAATGAGTGATTTAGTATTGAAAGCTGAGACGTGAGTAAAGAATTTCTCTCTGCATTCTAAGTCATGGCCCAGTGTGTGCAAGGCTGGATGATTTTCTAATTTCAAAGCTTTGCTCTTGGTTCTCTAAGTACTTATTGATTCCTTTTCTAAGAATGATTATTCTTGTAGAGTACCAAATCTCTCTCCAAAGGAAAGGCTAAATTTCCAGGGCAGTAGGCACCTAGGATAATATCCAAGTCTCTTTGTTTATATTTACCAGTATTAATGTTCAAAACATCAGTTATACAATCACAAGCCTTTATTAATTACTTTCCTCCAAACCCCCATAAACCAGGCTCCAAACCTCAGGACAATTTGAGTGCAGCAAAGCTTGCTTTAAAATGCCTGCAGTCATCATCTTGAACATGTTATCAGTTTCTTTTCTCAAAAAGTTGGTCATAGGGGCTGGAGAGATGGCTCAACAGTTAAGAGCACTGGCTGTTCTTGCAGAAGACCTGGGTTTGAATCCCAACACTCACATGACAGCTAACAACTGTCCATAACTCCAGTTCTAGGGGATCTGACATCCTCTTCTGTCCTCCATGGGCACTGTATGACATGGGCATACTTATGTACATGCAGGCATAGCACTCCTACACATAAAATAAATATAAATTTAAAAAAATTTAAAAGAACTTGGTAATAGAACTAGGGTAGACAACTATGTGTAAAGAAACCAATTTCAAATGAGTGAACCTGGGCATGCATATCACAATTTGAGGTTCTCGGAAAGCAGCATCTGAGCATTATGTGTGAAAGATGTGCAAGATGCCTCTTACAGTATGTCTTTGAAAGGGGAAGGGGAAGAAGCAGGAGTGCACAGAGGGAGAAGCTGAGCTGTGAGGCAGGTCCAACCCCCAGTCTTGGTTGACCTATGTAACATTTTGTTCTTGGCATGGTCATTTGGAGCTGTCTAGAGTTGGTGGAGAGCCTCATGTTTTCATATCTATCAATCTGTCATTGAAAATATGGGCCCTGGTTACGTATGTGACCTTGGGTAAGGTGGCCCTCTACAACTGAAGCAGTGGCCCAAGCAGGCTGACTGCTGAAGGCCATCTTCTGGCAACACCACAGCAACTGAGAGGAATATGCCCTTTAATCATGGTTATGCATGAAGGGGGCTTCAAAAGGGTGATCACACCATTCATCACAAAGCCATACTGAAAGTATAAAAAACTGATTCATAATAAATCAAAAAAAATGAGGATGAAGGAAGGTGAGCATAATTTTGTAGTTTGAACTGACAGAATTTCCATATGGAGGGTCTGTAGGTAAGACTGGGTTGGATTTCTGAAGAGCTGACATGTTCTGATGAAGACACCCAGGAGAAGATAACAAAAGAGGTATTCAAGGGTGAAAGGCTGGGATGGCAGAAGATGGCAGAAAATGGCAACATGTGTACAGAGCTGACAAGAAGATTAGCTTTCTGTGGCAGGATATTGAAAAGAATTAAGGGAGCAAGAAATAGAGACTATAAACAAGAAGTTTTGAGGCCCTTAATCAGCTTTGACATAGAAGCAAGTACCAAACATGGAAGGCTTCAGAAAAAAAAATCAACTCACATTCTGTGTTCAGAATTCATTGGCGGATGAAAGAGAGACTACGCAGGCCAAGACTGGAATAGCTTCAGCCACTTTAGCTGCCCACATCATGCCCCGCCATTCAGAGCTGTGGCTAAGCTATGCAAGCAAGACTCCCAGGATGCAAAATTTCTGCTTTTGCAATCCTAATAATAAAGTGCCTCCTTTTAGGAACTTCGCTTACTTCACCAAAGCATTCTGAGAAAATACATAATGTTAGCAAATCATTGTACTTGTATAAATGGCATTTCAAAGCAACTCCCATCTCAGAAAATAAGGTGGGAGTCTATTAGTATTTACGGCAGTGGTCATTGAGCGCTTTCCTGAGGAACAGTTATTCAAACTGAGACCTTAAAAAATTACCCATGGAATGGGTAGGGGAAAGGATATTAGACATAAAGAACAGAATGTACAAAGACTCAGACAAAAAATGCATTAAGTTGTATAATTATGAATGTGATCCTCTTGTTATTAAAGGACCAGGAAGAGGTCTGTCTGTTAAGAGCTAGAAATTCCATGCTCTATGTCGTTTGTCTTTGTGACTGAGGAAGATAGAGATAGTCAAAAAAGACGGGGAAGTTATTTGCCCTTTTTTGAGACAGGGTCTCCCTGTAGCACCAGCTGTCCTGGAACTCGCTATGTAGACCAGGCTGGCCTGGATCTCACAGATCTACACCTGACTCTATCTCCTGAGTGCTAGGATTAAAGGCATACACCACCACGCCCAGCTTATTTGCCTTTTATAAATCTGAAAGGCCCCATGAAATTTTTAAATTTTAGATTAAAAAATATGCTCTTCTGAACATGGTTGAGCTGCATCTTTTTAAAAGGGTAGGAGAGAAAGAGGGAAGTGAGGAAGAGGGAAAGGAAGACTATGCTTGGGGCTTGGTTTTGTTTTGAGATGGGATTTTGTTTTTATATGTAGCCCAGTCTGGCTTCAAACTCCCCCTGTAGTCCTAAGTGGCCCAGAACTCAAGATCCTCCTGCCTCAGCATCTCTAGTGCTGCCCTTACAGGCGTGTACCACTATACAGGGCCAGGAAAGGCTGTTCTTGAAGATAAAATAGTGTCGTGGATAACTAAACTATATACTTACACTTACATAAATAACATTTTTTTTCTTCTTACAGGGTTATGAGCCAGAGCCTAGTATAGTCAAGTTGGCAGAGCAGTATGCCCAGGAGGTATGCTCTCTACATATAACATTAAAATTGCCTTTCTCTGTCTCATGAAGTTTTCTAAACTAGGATGTTTCTCTGTGTTAGAATGGTACCAAGCTGCTGATGACGAATGATCCATTGGAAGCAGCACGTGGAGGCAATGTACTAATCACAGATACTTGGATAAGCATGGGACAAGAAGAGGAAAAGAAAAAGCGCCTTCAGGCTTTCCAAGGTTACCAGGTTACAATGAAGGTATAAACGGATGCCCCTGTGAAGGTTCATTAATTCCATCCATAATGGCTAGAACCACCTAATCAGTCATTCACTTTAGACTCAGTAGACTGACTGTTCACACCTTATAAAGGACTCACTGTATCCCACAAAAATCTCTCTCCTCCCAAAGATTAGCCATGTCATTTTGGAAAGGCACTTTTATGCTAAACAAAGGAGTCTGAAACCCAGGCAATAGAGAAACACAAGTTTTTCCCTTTCTAATAGCAGCAGAGGTACCAGAATGCATTGCTCTCTGTAAGTTTAGAGACAACAGGTTACTTCAGATTCATACAGTTACTTCAGATTTCTTCCCTAAGAAAAGCCCCATAACTGTTCTTGCAAGGTTAATTCTCGGTTTTATTTTCTAAGGGCCCTTTAACCCACTCTAGGGATTCCTAAGGGATGCCCCTTTAATGGAATGCCTTCCAGAAAGATCAGAAATAGTGCATATCAATCCTTTCTTCCTGCTTGCTGGCCTTCCTTCCTTTCAGTATGCCTCCATCTTGAGGAGCCATCAGAAAGATTTCTATGCAATGTTGATACACAACTGGCTGGTCCCCACCCCCAGGGTTTCGGATTCAGTGGGTTGTGTGTCACATTTGAAACCTTTTTATTTCAACATGGTTGCCAAGTGACGCAATGCTGCTTCTTCAGGGCTACATTTTGTAAACCTGTGTTCTGAAAGCACATGCTAAAGGACAGGGGCACACCAGAGTTTTGTTAGCAGAGCAACTAATTGTTTTGGTGGAGAAAGTGATTAAGGAAGCACCAAAATTTTTACTAATAAAGTAGCATGATAATTCAAGTTTTTCCTATTTCATGATAAATAGAAGTTTGGAAAGCAGAAACTGAAAATATTTTCCCCTACCCTATTAACAGTGACTACTTCTACAGGTAGTCACTATTTAACAATCTGATATGGCTCTTTGCAGACCTTTCTGTGTATTTACATATGTATGCCCGTATACGTACAAACACTGAGTTTTCATAAATGGTGTTTTAGATATACTATTCTCACTTGCTTTTATCACTTAAGAAATCTTGGATTTTCTTATCAATTCATTTAAATATTTATATTTTCAGTAGCTGCACGTAGAATTCCAAAATATAGATGGACAATAATTTACTGATTGATAATTTATAAAAATATCCCAATTTCAGACAATACTATAATGAGAATCCTCAGTCATATTTCTTTGTGAAAATGTTACTAGAAAATAAATTCCTACACGAATTTTTTGTGTAATGTGTTATGTACTCTAGAAAACATCAATGATGCCCATGCAAACAGGGTGAACAGTTTCTACGCCTACAAGTGGATACTATAGTTATTTCTCCACACATACCGCATTCCTTGTTATTTACATTTTATGCTTTGAAAATCTAAGGGAAATTGGTATCTTGTGCTTTTTAAAGTTTGCCTTATTTCTGATTATATCAAGCATTTTCATATTTATTGCTCATTTCCATTTCTTTTTCTCCAATTGCCATCATATCTTTGCTCTGTTTCTGTTTTATTCCTTTTACATCATTGATTGTAGGAGTTTTATATATGATGGCTAATCTTGTCATATATGTTTCAAATATTTTGTGGGGATATTTTAATTTGCCAGTGTTTTAGTTCATGCTTGTCTTGGGTGATTTTCTGGTGCTGGTACTGCAGGCTTAAAGAATAATAATTTTACTGATTATAACAGGTATAGAAGTTACTTCCTTTCCATCTCATTTTGCTAGTATTTTAGAAACTCAGTTGTTCTCAACTTAGAAGTAAAATAAAATTTTAGTACAATGGCAGTTATTCTGAAGTAGGAAAGTATGAGACAAGGTAGATTTGAATTTGTAAGTGAACAATGGAAATGGATGGGAGAATGTTACTTTTGGGAATTAAGTGTGGGAGAAAATTGAGACTGGGAGTGCATTTGCACTGCGAGTGAAATATCTCGAGCACAGTGCTTGTAATCCTTTCTAATACCCTCCTACCTCAGTACTTTCTTCAAAATTGCTTTAATTTGTGACAAAGTATGCTTCAGATGCTAAAATCCATAATTTTTAGATACCTCAACCTGTAATACCATCACATCTAAGAGACTTCTTTATATATTGGTGACTTTTCTTAGCAACCATGTATTATACCACGAGAGTTCATTACTGACATGTCCCCTGTCCACGAGACAGAATATTAGAAAAGTGAGTTACTGATTTAACTTGGAGTGATGTTCCCCCACACTTAAAGAAGTGACTATAAAATTCCATAAGATTAAGGAATTACACACATTTATCCTTGGTATCTTAAACTAAAAACTTCACTCTGGTCCCTTTGCCTTGTATTTATCTCTTGCCCCAGGCCAAATATACTTTTAAATCCTG